GAGAGAGAGAGAGAGAGAGCGCGCACGAGATCCAAGAGGGTCAGAGGGAGAAGCAGACTCCCTGCTGAGCAGGGAGCCCGATGCGGGACTCGATCCCGGGACTCCAAGATCATGACCTGAGCCGAAGGCAGTCGCTTAACCAACTGAGCCACCCAGGCGCCCTCTCCCTGCGTTTCTAGACACCGTCTTTGATCTCTTGTCCCTTCTCAGGCTCCTACGTCCTCACTAGGTATACACACGCTGCTCTCTGGCTGTCCAATACTGCCTCTTGTTTCCCCCTCTTTTCACACACCAACACACCAGGCCTTGTTTCAAAATGTCCCCTGGTTCCTCCCCAACCCACTTTGCTCTAACTATCCAATTACAATAGAGGGAAGTTAGAGGTCACTTCAGTCTCTAGAGTAACACTGTCTAAGACAAATATTATGTGAGCCACAAATGTGAGCCAGAGATGTAATTTTAAATTTTCTACTAGCCACATTTTAACAAGTAGAAAGAAACAGACAAAAACAATTTTAATAGATTTTATTTAACTCAGTATGCCCCAAATATTATCATTTCCACATGCAATCAAGACTTTTAAGGTTGTTAATAAGATATTTTATATTCTTTTCTTTTCTTTTCTTTGTACTCAGGCTTTGAGTATTTTATACTTAAAGCATAATCTTAATGTGAACCAGCCACATTTCAAGTGTTTCAAAGCCATATGAGGCTAGTGACTATAGTTTAATAGCATAGCTCTAGAATTTGAAGGAAGAAATTTCCCTAATATAGTGATCAGATTTCAACCTCCAAGTCTTCATCACTGAGACAAACAATGCAATTGCTTAAAATATCCTATACTGACACATTTGAATAAAAATTCAAAATGCTTTTGACAAATGAAAATGGTTAATTGGCTCTTACAAAATAAAAGTCAATTAGGCTAACTGCAAAATTTTTATATTCAGGCTCAAAAAAGTCAAACACAAATATAAAATGAGGGAGATCAGCTTGACAATTCACATAAAAAAAAATCTGTTTTTAAGTTAATCACAGTTTCCTCAGAGCTCTATTGTAACAGGATTTTTTT